TGCTGTATGTTTTCCAGAAAACCCCACTGCCTTCTTGAACCATGTTCTGCAAAAACAAACCACTAACCCCAGCCCATTGCTATCTTCAGCTAACGTGCGCCTCCCTGGCTTCCTGTATTTTCATCGCCCCAGAAAAGCTTTTACCAAATGCTACAGCTAACATGTAAATCCAAAGGCAAAACCTTCTGGAATTTCTCGATGGAGCCACTGCACAGCTTGCATGCTTTCTCACACTATTTTTCAGAACATTTAATGCCCTCCTCCAAGTACATATTTAGCAGATCCATTCAGACAACCACAGAGAGGAGATCAATTGAATTACTTTTCTCTCTGGTGCTTTCAAACCAATGTTGCCTTTTCAATGTGTTAATTTTACAATATGGGGTTCATAAAAGCTGCAGGTAGAACTGCAGGCAGGAGTCAGTTAGCAATAATTAATGTCTGTATCCATCGCCTGCTCCCCAAGGAACAAAGTGTCACTCCACTTGGAGGAGAGGAGCCAAGGAGGGAATGGCACAAGAAACAACTGTAGAACAAAGGCTCCAGTGTTGCGAAGAGCTGGACCCACTGGAGCTACCTCGTGCTGCAGGATTTGCAGAAGTGAGCAGGGCTCTCCTCATTGGAACGAGAAGCTGTGGCCAGAGCAGCTGGACAGTTCTTGGTAGTTTTCCACTTGCTGCTCACGAGTTCTTACCGTTTGGCTCTCTGTCACTGGGCCCCATAAAAACACCCACTGCAGGGAACTGAATGCTGGTTCATGCCACCCACCAGCCAAATGGCATGTGGGGAAGGAGGTTAGAAGTTCACATACTCTTCCCCTTTGTTTTCTTGTGTTTCTTCCTGCATAAGCACCTCTACAGTACAGGCCAAATGGCTGTCGTGGAGGCATGGGCTCTGCCTTGACGGCTTTCTTCCATCCTCCCATTCCTGGGAGGTGGTGTGAAGAGAGTAGGGCAGAGTTAACTGTTTTGGTGAAGAAGTAGGCACAGACAACAAAAGTAAGCCTGGATGCTTTGAAATGAGCTGCTTTGTAACTGAAGGGCTTATTTCTTCTCCCTAATACTTTTGCAGCTGAATAGGTACTGCAAAGGATAAATGTGCTTATCTTTCTTGGAAAAAAATTGTTTTCTTGGAGGAATGTGTGGAAAATTCTTTAATAAATATAAACATTTAGGGAAAAAGATAACCGCAATATTTTAATAATTGGGAATAACTGATTAGACTGCGTATTCTCAACCCCAGACTGCTTCACTTTAAGATCTTGGAGCCCAAATCCTGTTCCCCTTAGTTTTCTAGAAGGAAGAAGTAACCCTTCCATTTTTCTCCATTCTTCCAGTTCAGATGGTTCAAACCACTGGACTCCTTTAGTAAAGAAAAAGAAAAAAAACCCTACTTTAATCATGGCAAAAACATATTACTTACAACACAAAACAGAGAGAAAAGAAAAGCATTTTCTGTGATAGCTTTTCATTTCAGTTTCTTCAGAAATGTTGAGAATTTTTACTTAAAAATAAAAGCCATAAAGTTGTCTTAGCACACACTTGGTGCAAAGAAAAGACAGTCATTAAAATAAATTACAGAATGGAAAATAGCACCCTGACAATTCTCTCCTGTTTCTTTTCTAAAGTGACTTTTCCTAGAAGCAAATTTTGACATCTAATAAAAGCAAAATGTCTTAGGCTATGAGTGGCTTTTTCAGAAATGTATCCCTTTGCCTCTGTTGTCGCCAACGAAAACAAATTAATAAGGTAAAATAAAGCTGAGTTAAGGCAAGAACCAGATGGAACTGAATTACCTTGCTTGTCAACTGAAGGCTAATTCAGAGAGTTGTGCGGAGCCTTGGCCTTTGGTGATTATGAACCCAAGGACACAGAAGTGTAAGTTTCACCATCAGCTGGGCGATTTAACATGTGGTCCAGAGAAATCTCAGCACTAGACAATGCTACATGCAAATCTGGGGAGTCATTTTCTAGTTTCTCTTGTGTAGGTTATTTTGCAATAGCTGAGTAGCTTTTCTAACCTGAATTTCTTTATCCATGAAATAGGAATACACTAGGTCCTCCCTTATCCATGAGATTCAACCAGTCACAGATCACAACTATTCAGAAGAAAATCGCATCTGTACTGAAGATGTGCAGATTGTCTTGTCGTCGCTTCCTAAACAATACAGCATAGTACCTATTTCCACAGCGTTTACATTGTACTGAGTACTATAAGTAATTGAGAGATGATCTAAAGTATGGGGAGGATGTGTGTGGATTATTCACAAACACTACATCATTTTATATAAGGAACTTGAATATCCTTGGATTTGTGGGGAGCAGGGAGCTGTATCCTGGAATCAGCCTCTAGTGAACACCAAGGGACAGCTATAATAATACTTCATCATCCATCACAAAGTTGTGGAGAGGATTAAAAGATAAAGCAAAATACTTGGAGACACAAGATATTTAGGATGGCGCCTGGCACCTTTCCAAGCAATTGTTGAAAGGTAACCACCATTATTATTACCATATGGAAGACTCAGTAAAACCATTAACTGTGTGCAACACACACAATTTGTTCCTTGTGTGCTCAAGGACTGGAAGTCAAGACTTCAGATATTCCCGGCTGGAAGAATGATGAACACAAACTTAAACCCCGATTGAACACTATGTTCGAGGTCAAACTGTCACAGTATCCAGGCACATGGAACAGAGCACAAGGACTCAAGAGAGTGCTATGAACTGAGTTGATCATCTGGGGTCGGGGAGAGACTTAATACCCACCATGTATGCAATGCTGAAGCCAGGGCTAGACAACTTCTTCTGTAAAAGGCCAGATAGTAAATATTTTTGGCTTTATGGGGCAGTCTGTTTCACAACTGTGCTGCTCTGCTATGAAAGCAGCCTTAGGTAATCTGTGAACTAATGAGGATGGCTGTGTTACAATAAAGCTTTACTTTCAAAGCAGGCAGTGGGCCAGATGGGGCTTATGGGCTGTACTTTGCTGACCCCTGGTCTAGATTCAACCATTCAGCAAATATATACTACATATCTTGTACATCACAGATACCATTCCACATGCCTCAAGATGTAGCTATCACCGGAATAAAATCCTTCATGTCGTGAGGCTCACACTGTGTTATAAAGCTATTGTTATTATCTCTTTCCCACCCTGAAGAGGCCAAAGGAAGACAGTTTTTGGAGAAGAGAGTAATAATCATCTAGGTGAAGTGTCACTGAAAGTTTGAATAAGCTGAGGACTGAAAATCAGCCATTGTGTTTGGCAACAAAGAAATTATTAGTGACTGTGATAAGAACAGCTTCAGCAGAATGATAGGGACAAAAACCTGATTGGAGTGGGTTCCAGAGGGACAGAGGCAAAGAAGTGGATTTGTGAGACAGAGCAGGAGGAAGGAGGCAACTACAGGGGTGGGGATTGGTTGTGTTAAGATAGGGAGATTAGCAACAATGGGACATTGTGACACAGGAGAACAAGAAATGGTATTTCAGAGCATCAACAGGACATGGGTCCCAGCGCCGAGATGAGCTGCTGTCCTTTGCAAGAAGCAGGTCTTGTCCCTGCCAGAGAACAGGAAAGAGGGCAGAGGGCCATAGGTATATTGTGGGAAAGTGAACCAGTTCTTTTCCAGTTGCATCCTTGTACCCACTAAAGTCAGAAGGAGGCTCATCAGATAGGAATGAGGGAGAGAAGAATTCCCATGACAAGATGAGAACATTTGGAATGGTCATCACATGGGGGAGGAAACATTCCCAGCAGGACTCGTGGCTGGTCCTGGGGGCCTTCAAGCTGGACTTGGCCTCTGCCACAATAAGCATAGTGCAGGGGGTGGCCTCAGAGACTCGAGTCATGGCCTGCTCCCTGGGCTTATCTGTCTAGCTCCCTTCTTCACTAAGTACTACGTGTTGGGTGATGTGGTTTCTCTAGAATGCTCTACAGGGTTCAATCCCTAGAATAAGGCAGAAGGAGGGACAGAGAGTCTCAACTTAGGCCTGGGCACCTAATGCTAGGTGACCTAGCATTTTTGCTAGACAATGAAATCCAAAAGTTATGTACTACTCAGTGCTGCCGGAGCCACCTCTATTTTTAGAAGTTCTCGTCCATGACTATATACTCACTCTGCCCCGTGGAGTCAGCAGGCAGTGCCAACGCTGCACTACCATCTTTCCAGGCCCTAGCATATGCCAGGACCTGTTCTCAGAGCATGGAGCATATTTTCCTTTCTGTTACCCTGAAACAATCCAGCAGCTGGTACTATTGTCGATTCCATCTCGCACATGAAGCACATGTGAGGCTCTAAGCTGAAGGTCACATAGCAGAGAGTATCATAGTCTGATAGATCTCAAGGGCCACGCTTTCAGCCCCTGGATTATCCTGAAAATGCCCCTGATTCATTCAGACATTGAGTTTGACCCCAATGATAATGGGGCCTCAGCGGTGAAGCACCTGCCTGGCAAGTGCAAGGTCCTGAGCTCCATCCCCGGCACCAAAATGTTAAAATGTTTAAAATATAAAATAAATAAATTAAATAAAAACAAGTAATGGCAACTCTCAAAAGACCAGCTTAAATGAATTAGGGGCCTCGTTTTTCTCATGGAAAGAAAGCCGGTGGTAAAGCCACTCATAACTGAAACAGCTAAACAGCACCACTGGAACCGATATTTCTTTTGGTTATTTGCTTTTTGGCCCTTAGTGTGTGGTTCTTTGTGCTTGTGGTCACTGCATGACTACAAAATGGGACTCTACCTCCAGCACTGCATCAGCATTCGAGGCAGAAGAAAGAAGGGATCCAGGCCCTTCAACCACCAGGAGGGTCCTACTATCAAGATGCATCCTCCAGTATCCCAGGGCACTTCTAAGGATCTGGAATTTTGCAAAATTATGAGTACAATTCCATCCAGGATGTATTTCACATCCTCCCTTGAGAACTAGAAGCATCTGTTTTTACTACAAAGAAGAGACAAAAGAACTGATGGTTCTAATGAAACAAGATGTTAATTCTTGATACAGATGAGTTCAGGGAGCTAACCCCTTGTAATGGCATAATGTTACAAAAACACAGTGGGAAGAAAAGGCCATGGGGACATCAAGGACAACCAGATCTGAGCACCTAGCTAGGGATGGAGCTCTATCTAACCTGCTCTTCATTGGGATATCAATTAAAACCCCCAAAGGGTGATCATTCCTCAAGGGGCATTACCTGCTCCTATGTTTTTAAATAATCTTACTTCTAAACAAATGCAGTTTTAGGTTACAGGAAAATTGAGTAGAAAGTACAGCGTGTTCCCAAGGATGCACTCATGCCTCCCCCATTATTTCTCTCTGTTATTAACATCTTGCTCTTTGCACTTTTTACCAAGATGAGCCAACATGGATACATTTTATAAACTGAAATTCATAGCTTACATCAGGGCTCACATTTTGGGTTGAAACTTTTGTGGATTTTGTGCTGTGACAAAGACTAGTTCCTCTGACCCTCAAATTCCAGGTTCTCCACCCTCCCTCTGTCCTCCTGAACACTAGGCCACCACTGGTCTCTTCGCAGCCTCCACGGTTTGGCCTTTACTAGGGTACACGTAGAGTTGTACAGTTTGCAGGTTGGTTTCTTTCACTTTCATGGTTCCTCCGCATCCTTTGTGACTTGATAGCTCATCCCCTCTTTCTGTCATTGAATATGATGCCATTTTATGTACCACAGTCCAGTTACCCACTCCACTGAATGACATCTTGGTTACATACAGGTTTTGGCAGTGGTAAACAAAGCTGCTGAAAACATCCATGTAGAGGTTGGGGATTTAGCTCAGTGGTATAAGCGCCTCACTGGCAAGCACGAGGTCATGAGTTTGATCCCTGGTACCAAAAAAAAAAAAAAATGACCATCCTAATGCAGGTTTTATGCATTTTCAACTCTTTTGGGCAAAAATCAAAGAGCACAGTTGTTGGCATCTATAGTAAGAGTGTGTTTGCTGCTTTTTTAAAAGCGAAACAAAAGAATAGAAATGATACAGAATTTCGAAAAAATAGTAGAAAATTAACATCAGTTAATATATTGCATATTGTTATCTTAGAAGTGGTTGTTCAGGTTACAAGATTTAGGCATGAAAAAAATGATCAAACAATGAAAACACAAACTGTTCTTTTTGATGAACAGAGATTAGTAGTATAGTTATCTATGTTGTATATATATTCAACTACATGCATATATATGTAATTCCACGTAAATACAATCTTTTCCCTTCTTCCTTTTCTCCTTTCCCCTATTACAGTTTTCTTTCCTTTTGAGCCCTTTCTTTCCCTTTCATTATCACAGCACAATTTGTAATACTAAATCTTGGAAGCAACCTAAATGCCCACCAACTGCGGAATGGATCAAAAAGATGTGATATTTTTATACAATAGAGTACTACTCAGCTGTAAAGGATAAACTTGAGGCTTTTATAGGTAAATAGAGGCAACTTGAGACTATACTTAAGAGTGAAATAAGTCAAACTCACATTTGTAAATATCTTATTGTCTCCCTACTATAAAAAAAACTGAAAGTAATAAGATCCAAAATGTGTTTGCTTTTATAAGAAACTGTCAAACTGTCTTCCAAAGTGGCATCCAACTTTTCATTTCCACTAGCAGTAAATGAAAATTCCAGTTACCTCACATACTGCCAAGTCTTTGGCGTGGTCTGTATTTATTAATTCATTCATTCAACAAACACTTATTGCTCCCATACTTGACGTCATCCATAAGACAGAGTCTACTGCTTACAGTTCAGAACATCCTCAGCTTCTCAGGGGAAAGTTACAGAAAGTTCTATGCCCTTTGATCAATGCCTTTGAACTTCAGCTGGGATCCACATCACCTGGAATGTTTATGAAAACAGATTAGTGGGGTAGGAGGTTCTCAGATAGAGTTTCTGATTCTGCAACTAGGATGAACTCCAAGAATTTGTATTTCTAACAAGTTTTGCAGCTGATATCACTGCTGGCCCAGGGATAATTCCTTGCAAACCACTGATGTAGATGCTTCTGATGAAAAGAAAACACCAACTTAGCTGGCATCTCCCCCATGCTGAGATGTCTCAGGAAGCGCCTCACCCAGCATATCAGGGAAGTTCACAATGTCAGCCTTTTGCCCATCCCTGAAAGAAGGTCTCCATCTCCTCTAAAGTAGCATAGCTAAACCTTGCTTTCTTTCCAGAGCAGAAAACCATTTGTTAAATGTTATGCATCATCCTCTGGAATAGCAGCGCCATGCTGGGAGCCCTAGCATGAAGATGCCTTCTGGAATGTCCCGCAGGTGTTGATGTTAGAGGCTGTGCTAATGCATTTTGATGGGCACTGCTCATGCTTGGTTGGTTGGTTGGTTTCAGTAGAGGCCTTGTCTCCTGGTGCTAGAGTTTGTGCTGAGCCACCAAATGCCAGGTGACCCCAAGGCCTGATCATTTACGGTTAACTTCTTCAGAGCAATGTCATCTGCAGAACAGACCTGATCGTGACCCCGAGTCAGCCCATTCCACAGCCATCTCCTTGGTCTGCCTTGACAATTATTAATTACAGCCTCCTCTGCATTGTGCCCCACAGTCAGCTGGTGAGAAGGTCACCCCTGGACACATGCTAAATGTTGCTGCCGTCTTGCTCACCAGCACGTGCTCTACCTGATTGTGCCAGACCCCACAGGCCATTCTCCAAGCTTCTTAATCTTCCACAAACCCTCTGGAGGTGGTTCGTGTCCCCTTCTTAATTAGTCGCCGCCCCAATTTACAGATGAGGAAAGAGCCTCAGTGCAGATGAGACACTTATTCCAGGTCACAGGGCTACAAGTGACAGAGCTGGAATTCAAACTCAGGTCATGCTGACCTTGCAGACTTCTTATGGAAGTGGATCTAGGCAGAGTGACTGAGAACAGAAGAAACTTAGAATCAAGATCAAAGACTTCAAGGATACACACCTGCAGCCGGAAGTCTCTTCCTACTTTCACATTTCCACGCCACTCTCTGCATTCCTCACAAGCAGCACTGTTCTTGGAACATGGAGAACAGGGCTTCTCATGCCCCTTTACTCATCTGCCCCAGAGTCTTGTCCGAAGTAGGCGCTGAAAAATATGCATGGTTAGGAAGAAAATGGATAACTAACACTGCCAGGTTGAATACCTCTAGCACCCAGATCTTCTTCCTATTAGTTAACCCAGGGCTCTCTGGAAAATGGTTAATTCTAAGACTGGGGCAGGAAATATACAAGATGAGCCTGAGGCATTCCGGAGTGATGTGCAGAATCTACAAAGCCATGATAATAGTGTTATGTCAAAGAGGAACAAAAGAAAAAGCGGAACGAGCCATCACTAGCCAAAGCTGAAGCAATTTGAGCAAAAAAGCAAATCATATTGAAGTATAAAACGAATATTCATGTGTCCATATGGATATGAATAAATGATTGAATAAATAAATAAATAGAGGAAAGCAGACAAAGCTCCAGCATGGAGGGATTCCTATACAGATAACTCATATAGATATTCTTCCCTCAGTAGTTGGAGCATAAGTCATAATGGATCCTTTCCAAAGAGTGTATGAGTGACTACAGAGAAGGAATCTCACAGACATTAGCTTATCGAGGTGGTGGAGGAGACCTCAACAGTGACAAATCTTGTTGATAACGGGTCTCCTTGACATGTTTGATGAAAGTTACATTTTACCTCTGGTCTTCCTCTGGCAAACCCATACGTAGCTCCAGTGCAATCATGAGGAAATGAAAATCAAACAAATTATAATTCTACGTCCTACAAGGAACCTGACCAGTCCTTCTCAGAGTTGTCAGGGTCATCAAAAACCAAGGAAGTCTGAGAAACTGTCACAGCCCAGAGAAGCCTAAGGGGACTTGATGATTAAATGTAATGTGGTATCCTGGATGGGATTCTGGAACCAAAAAGGAAATACATAAAAAGACACTAGAAGAACCTGAAGAAAACTATGAATAAACTATGGAATTAGTTAATAATAACACACTAATATTGGTTCATTAAGTGGTGACCAATGTACTAAGGGGAAAGTGGGTGTGAGGTGTACGGGAACTCTCTGTGCCATCTTTTGCAATGTTTTTTTGTAAACTTAAAACCGTTTTAAAATTTAAGTTTAATTTTGGGAGAGAAGGCCATATCATACCATGTAGAAAGTGGGGCTACAGATTAGCTAGACTGCATGTGGAGGAAGAAGGAAGTCTAGAAAATGGAAACAAAGCTATTTACAGTTCTTAACATGAGCTGTGTTCCCATAAAGAGTGCCATTTTATAGATGGAGTTTTTCCAGTAATTACTTTGTCGCCCACATTAGGTCAACATAGCCAAAAAAACATGGATAAGTTAGTAGAGTCTGCAAAGGGATAGACTTTTCTGTGAAGAGAACCAGTATGGTTTAATAATCAGAACTTCTGATGTGTGTAGTTCCTTTCTTAGTGCTTCTAGTTGCATTTCTATCCTCATCAGAAGCACAGTACTGCTCCTGGAGATCACAGCAGGTAGAAGATGACCAAGCACAGTAATTTTTCCTGAAGATCTTCTCTGTGTTTTGATTGTCATGGATTATCCTCAAGCAACTGAATGGTTCCCCTGAAAAGATGTCCGAAGGCAAGTGGCTGGGGTGATGGACTAGAGTTCCGTGGTTCAGCGGGTTCCGTGTTTGGCAACAAGAGTCACCATTGCCCTATGCTGGATGTAGCAATATAATAGTCAAACCCTTTCCTTCTTCTTCCCTCCTGCTGATCCCAGGGGGCTGCTGAGCTCTGCAGAGGAGCTTCTTGATGAGCCTGGCAGGAGATTGGGAAGATGGAAGAAAGAAGAGAGCAGAGTATCTCTCTACCTCATCAAGCCAATCCCCTGAATGTCTCCAGCTCAATCCAGACACACCCACTCTGGGTGCCGAGTGGCCTGGCTCCTGGCTCTGGTTTATCTCTTCTTCCTTTGACATATCCAGCCCTAGAGGTGCAGTGGCTTCTTGCTGTGGCTGATCTGTGGGTCCTTTCATGGCCCTGTGGCTTCTCAATGCTTTCACCATTCTGCTTAACCAATTCCCTGAATTAAATACCTGCTGTTTAAAACACTTAGCATAGATTCTGATTTCCTGGTGAAACCCCTGATTTTTTTTTTTTTTTTTTTTTTTTTTTTTGTCTTTTTTGTTTTAATCGGTAGCAGGGATCCAACTCACGACTGCCTGCTTGCAAGGCAGGCGCTTATGCTTCTGAGCTAAAAAAAAAAAATCCTGATTTTTAAAAAATTCCTATTCAGTCCAAGAAAAGGACACACACACACACATACACACATTTGCATCTGTCTTCCCAACACTGCCTCATCACAGTTTGTGTTTTAGGAACATAGGGACATCTACCTTGTTCAGGCAGATCCATACCACTACAATGAAGCTAGGAAGCTCTAAAAGGACCTGAGAGAATGCTCCAGAAGTGTGACTGAACTTTCTATGACCTTCTAGATCAATGGCCACAACAAAATTATTCAATGTATCGCCTCTAAAACTAACAAAATGTCTGCCTACACACTTTCAAGCCTTTCCATGGTCACAAAGTAAGAAAGTGATAGTCTTCCTTGGTCACTGTGATGTCACAGTGGGGTCACTCCAGTATCTCTGGGTTGCCTAGGCAAACTAAAAGCAGCGTCTTTGGTAGCTACAAGATGCTATTGTTCATAAGAAAAAGGTTTCGTGCTTTTGGTTTAATACTGGCAACTTCGTTTTCTTATTGATTCTATGTAATCCTTAGATAGAATCATTTGGGGAATTTTAGACAGGTGCTTATAATAGGGATTGTTTGGATAAAGAGCCCTTTATTATTTGGAGTGCATATGTATGTAGGGTACTTATTTCATTTATTTTCATAAATTTTAAAACTAAAATGTTCACATTGCCCTAAAATATGCAATTTAACCCACCCAGAGTGGGTTAATTAGTGCCCTAATTAGTTCCTGGCTGTGTAGCTGTAATGTCAGCGTCCTTTAGGGGCAAACGTGATTCCTGGTTTGTTAGAGCGTGAATTCCAGAAAGTGCGTTCTTAGGAAAATACAGGAAATGCAGACTCTCTCAGGCAGTGCCACGTACAGAAATAAGTGTGTGAATGTGCTAGAACACGTGTATTCTGTAAAGTAACACAGTGAGCAGTAAGCTTCACTACACTGCTTTCTAGCACCCAAAAACTGTTTAACTTCAGAGAAACAAGAAATGCAGCCGGACATCTTTATTGTCTTTCTTCTGTTTTTATCAACATGTTGCAATCATTTCCACAGAAGGACAAATTCTTCCCCAGAAGATACACAGAAACAATGTCTTAGAAATGCTGCTCTTGAGCAGATAACAGCTCGTAACTCCAAAAGAACAAGATATACATATTCATCAGCAAAACAAAGGTTTACACAGTCTTTGTCTTCTATGGTGCAACTTGCCTTACACTAGACACACAATTAAATGAGTTTCCACGCACATCAGCAAAAGAACTCATATTCTCCATGCATACTTTTTTTACTTTCAGCGGCTCATAAACTTTGGGGTGTATCAGGATTTCCCAGGAGCTGAGTACAATGCATTATCCTTGATACCAGCTCTGCATGTTTGGTTGGTGGTTAGGAACCCAACAATCTACAATCAGAGCAGGCCCCCTACTCTTTTGCTGGCAGTTGTCCAGAACATGACTTGTAGGACAAAGGGCAGGGCAGTACTCAGGGGACCATATAGCCCCAACCCTTGGATATGATATATTTTAGTTTAAAGTAGATTTCACTTTTATTTAGACAAATGTCACCAGCAACACAGTGTTTGAATGAACTGCTTTAGAAAAGGAATTCTAACCCACCTTCTCTTCTGGGTGTCTTCCCAAAAGAGTTACATATCATACTACAGAGCTATATGCATACCATGTTTATAGTAGAATAATTCACAATTCCTAAATCTTAGGAAGTCCTATTCACCCACCAACAGACAAATAGATAAAGAAACTGTGGTAATTTTATCCATTTTTTTTTTTACATTGCAAAGACTCAACTGGCAAGATCTGTGTGAGTATATTTCTAGACTTTCTGTTTGGTTTGATTAATTTGTTTGCTATCTCTTCACTAATACAGCACTATCTTGAAAACAATATCTTTGTTAAGTAATAAACTTATTTCCACCCACTTTTTTCCTTTTCACAATTGTTTTAACTATCACAGTTCTCTTGCCCCTCCAAATAAATCTTAGAATCAGTTTGTTAATATCTACAAAGTTTTTTAAAATTTTATTTTAGAGAGAATAAAACCAAGCAAAATAAAACAGAATAAAGTCAATTAAAACAAGACAGTGTAAGTGATGCAGGATTTCAAAACAAGATACTAGGAAATCAACAATGGTTACTAGAATGCCTCTTGTTGTCTTCAAAATAGCTGCCTATTCCTTCAGACATAGTAAAATCAAGCAAATAGAAACAGAATAAAACCAATAAAAACAAAACAATGAATGTAATACAGGACTTCAAAACAAGATAATAGTAAATCCAACATCTACAAAATTATTATTCCAGAATTTGGATTCCAGTAAGTCTGAAAATCAATTTTTAGAGAACTTATTTTTCCTTTATTATGTTAATGTTGTTCTGTAAGATTACAGTATTTTTTCCTACTTAAGTTTTCTTTGGTCAGCATTTTTAAAAATTTCAATACAGAGCTCCCATACATTTTTGTTGGATTTAATTTTTGTTGTGACTACAAATGGATACACGGAATCGCTATTTGTTAAAAAATAAAATAAAAACAACTGGAAATAGAAAAATTAGGAAAAAATATTACATAGATGCATATATATTTACAATGGAGTGCTATTCAGTGATAAAGAAGAATAAATTTAGGTCATTTGTAGGAAAATGGATGCACTTTGAAACTATAATCTTAAGTGAAATAAATCAGACTAAATATCACATGGCTTTTCTTATGTGAGAAATCCAAAAATAAATAATTAAAAGAGCAAAATAACAGCTAGACAACAAGAAACTTGGAGTTGGACCTTTTGCAAATGGGAAGGGAATCTGAGCGAGGAACAGAGGAAGAGGGCATGGAAGGGACTGGAAGCGGAAGTGAAAGGGACTAACAGGAGGCCTCTGCACCCACCACCTCCCCACAATGGATGTGTTTGATAGGTATCAAAATTGTGTATTAATTTTAAAATTTTTATGAAAGAAAGAAAGCCAAAGAACAGGGATCATAGGACGAGGACCAAAACTTTCCCCCCACAGTCCAGGCACAGAGGCCCCCAGCACCTTCACTTGCATGACTCTTTTGGGGGACACCCAAAGCACCTCTTGCACTTTCATTCCGTATGCTCTTCTCCAAGAAAGGAAAGGTCATTTGAAGAGCAAGTCTCTTACCTTCCTCAGCATGGCTTCCTGCAGAGATCCTGCAAATGTTTTCCTGAGAGTGGCACCCTACCAGGGCCCAGCCAGAGTCACTTTCCTGTTGGTGGCCCCGGCAAGGTTTGAAGGTCAGACCCACACCAGGCATAGGTTTTGGAAAGCCAGCATCAGAATATTTTTGATTGAGACCTGCCAACGCATGGGCCAGGAATGTCTAGTTTCTTCCTCACGCAGAGGAGTGGTGTTTAATGAAAAAACAGCTCTGAAAAATGAAACATTCCATGCATTACCCATAGTCCTGAAACCCGGAACAATGTTCCAGGAAATGTAGATGCCTTCTGTCCTCAACATTTCCCCTTTCTCATGTGTCTATTTAATATAAGTGTCCTAGAAGCTCTTCCCCACGGATCTATCAGATGTCTGTCTGCTAAGCCGCTCTCCCCTTTTGTCTTGCAGCCTCATGCTAGGCACTGGGAAGGGAATATGGGGTGGCAAATTAAACAAATCCTTTAAAAACAAGATTCTGGCTTGGACTTTCAATGCCCAGATTACCAAGCAGATAGGCATTTTATTTTGCGAACTGAAAAGGCTAATTTATATCTTTCCGGGATCATTTTCTAACCTAAGTGCTGTGAAAACATTCTCAAGGAGAAAGACTTTCTTGTTCATTTGCCCTTTATATTGCTTCTGGTCATCCCACTTGTAGAATTCAGGCAGCAATCTGCTACTTCCGCTTGGGGACAGGCCAGCTAGCAAAGCCCTCTGTGAGTTACCCAACCACATTTCATCATATTGCAGTCAGCTCAGAAGCCCTTCATGGTACCATGCTGTAAGCTGGGCCACATTCCAAACCCATCTTTGGTGGAAGGAAATAGTTTATCTCCTTTGTTTCTCCAGATAGCAAACCACATCTAACCCTAACTACATATATTCCTCGGGATAGCCTTCTTATTTGTTTGGGGTTCTATTTTTGCCATCAAGCACCTAGCAGTTTTCCTCTGAAAGGAAGCCATGAAAAGATGGCTTCCCAAGGGACTCAAGGAATCCCCCTGAGATGATTAAAGTGTCAGCCCAGCGGGGCTAAAGAATGCCAATGTAGCTGCTAAAACACTCCTGCGTGTGTCTGGGAAGGTATTTCCAGAAAACATAAGCATTCTACTCTACGGACTAAAAAAAAAAAATAGCCCTCACCACTGCTGTTAGACATTCTTCAATTTATTAAAGTCCCAAATAGAACAAAATGGTGGGGTTAGGGTGAATATGAACTCTCCTCTTGAGCATCTTCTCCTGCCTTCTGATACAGGGCTGCTTCTCAAGGATTCAGACTCTGGAGTTTACACTGTCATCCTCCCCTGACTCCTTTTTGCAAGCCTTTGGACTCAGACTGAATGACACTAACAGCTTGTCTGGGTCCACAGCTTATAGGTAGCAGATCAGACTATAGAAATGGACAGTCATTCCCAGGTAATGTGGGGGATGAGTTCCAGGATGGCCCATGAGACTGAAACCTGCAGAGGCTCAAGTGCCTTATTTAAAATAGCATAATATTTGCATATTATTAACTTCTGTATATTCCTCTACATACTTTAAATTGCCTCTAGTTTATTTATAATGCTCAATGCAATTTAAATGCCTTCAATGCAATGTAATAGCTGTTACACTATATTGTTTGGGGAAATAATGATAAGAAAAAGTCTGTTGGTATATCTACCATTTTGTTTTTTTATATTTTCAATCCGAGGGGGCAGGGATATGGGTCAGCACACACAGCACCTGCTTGGCAAGTGTGAGGTCCTGAGTTCGATTCCTGGTACTTGGAAAAAAAATTTTCCGTAAGTGGTTGGTTGAATTTGTAGATACAGAACCCATAAAAACAGAAACCAATTGTGTATCTCCAACTCTTTCTGCTTCAGTGGACATCCCCAACTAATACACCCTGCAGTGGATCCATGAGGGTCTCCTTACGCTTCTCATAAAATAAAGGTAAGTAGCCTCTTTAATAAATGTACTGGAAAAATTGGCTTTCCACAGGCCGAAGACTGAAACTAGACCTATGTCTATCACCATGCACTGAATTCAAAATGGATCAAAGATCTAAATATTACAATAGAAACACTAAATATACTGGAAGACAAGGTAGGTAGAAATCTTGAAAACATAGGGGTAGGCAAAAATCTCATGAACAAAATGCAAACTGCATGAGAAGTACTTCCAAGAATCAACAACTGGGATCTCATCTTATTAAAAAGTTTTTGTACTTCAAAAGAAATCACCAACAGAGTGAAAAGAAAACCCACAAAATGAGAAAAAATTTTAGCCAACTGTCCCTCAAAGGACTTATATCTAGAACATATAAAGAATTGAAAACCATCAGACCTCCAATATCCAAAGACCCAATCCAAAAATGGGCATCTGAGTTGAGCACACACTTCTCAGATGAAGAAATACAAACAGCAAGTAGATACATGAAAAAATGTTCAGCATCACTGGTTATTCAAGAAATGCAAATTAGAACAACACTGAGATTCCATCTCACTCCAGAAAAAATGGCTGCCATCAAGAAATCAACCAGTAACAACTGCTGTTGGGGCAGTGGAGAAAAAGGAATCTTTTTCCACTGTTGGTAGAAGTGTAGACTGGTACAACCACTGTGAAAATCAGTGAGGAGATTCCTCAAAAAACTAGGATTAGAGGTCCCATTCTATCCAGATATTCCCCTTCTGGGTGTCTTCCCAAAAGAATTGAAACATCTTAGCAGAGCAATATTTGTATACTCATGTTTATAGCAGCATAATTTGTAATAGCTAAATCTTGGAAACAACCCAAATGCCTGTCTATCAAGGAATGGATAAAAATGCTGTAGCATTTTTATACAATGGAACATTAGAAGGATACACATGAGACTTTTATAGGTAAATGGATGCAATTTGAGACCATACTCATAAGTGAACTAAATCAGACTCGCACGTGTAAACATGGTATTGTCTCCCTAGTATTAAAAAAAAAAAAAACCTAAAAGATCCAAAATATGCAATAGATATTGTGAAAATGAAAGGGAAGGAAAGTGCCCAAAAGGAAAGAACAACTGGGATAGAGAAAAGGAGAAGAAAAAGAAGGGGAAAGATTACATGGACATAGCTCTCCATATATACATGTGTGTATGTATATTTATACAAGATAGATAACTGTGCTGCTAATCTCTGTAAGTTCATCAAAAAGAACAGTTTCTTTTCATTGTCTGTTCCATCATTTTTCATTGTCTAAATCTTGTAATCCGAACAACTACTTTTAAGATAGTATGCAATATATATTAAATAGTGTTAATTTCCTATTTTTAAAAATTCTGTAGTGTTTTTATCCTGTTTTGTTTTGTTTGTAAAATTTTTAAAAATACAGGTAAGGGAGGAAGGCTTGGCCAGGATCTTCCCACCTGGGATCTTACTCTGCCAAAGGGTTGAATTTCAGCCCCCACACACTTTTTCCTGTCCTGTCCTGTCCTGTCCTGTCCTTTCCCTCCTTCTCCTTCCCCTCCCTCCCCTTCCCTTCCTTCTCCTTCCTCTGGCAACATTTGACAGAAACACCCCAGCATTGGAGAGCCTTTGTGTCCCAGCCAGCAGATTTCGAGGCCACTGTGAGCTTCCTTTCTGCAACTGATGTAACAGGCCTGGGTCTCATCAAAAGACCAGGGGTCAATCCAATGAGATTGGGAATACAACAGGGACTAAAGAGATGCCACTGTGCCCTTTGTCCTGTGAAAGCCAAAGGTTCTGGGAAGCGAGAAGAGTGGGGTTGTTTACTTGGTACTTGAACCATCTCTCCACTAGTGAAGTTTCAAGGTGTCCTCACCCTAGCTCCTGGCTATAGTGACCCTTTCATCATGTCTCTGCGGAGATGTGCATTCACAATCTGAGAAGCTACACAGTCCAGGGCAGGGTCTTGCACACAGCCCCTTTATCCACTCCTTCAGTGTCCGCCTCGAAGAGCACAGCAGTGCTTTTCCCTTCTGCAGATGCATTTAGAATGCAAGTGAAAAGCAATCATGACAGCAGTTATTTTAGTGTTTTGTGGATGAGTCTGTGACACTCTTGAACTTACATGATTGTGTGCTGAGTATCCAACGAAGTTTCCAAAAAGAGCCTCTGTAGATACACGATTCAAAAGAAATATAGCTCCCCGGTACCGCCAAAAAAAAAAAAAAAAAAAAAAAAAGAAAAAGAAATATAGCATAACACATACATTTAACAAGTAGTAACATTAAAAACTAACAAGATAAATAATATATTTAGGTTAAACCAATATATCCAAAATATTCTCATATGAATATATAATTGATAAAAGAAATTGACAGTGATACATGCACACACACACATACATTTTATTCAAAATTCACAGTCCTGGTTTACACTTGGGATGCTTAATTCCAACCAGCCCTAGTGCAGATACTTAATTTAGAACAGCTGCATGTGGTAATCACATATGGCCATAGGTTTTTTAGTCTTCTTTCAGATTTCACATCCCATTAATAACTAGCAGGACTGTTACAGTGAACAGTGAGAGATCATTGTTGCTAATTCCCAAACCAAGTTCTTGGAAGCACTAGTAACAATTTGAAGCTCTCCTTCTGAGCTCAAAAGAAGACCCAGATAAATGATCTCAGTGGATCTTCATTACAACCCATGAAGTAGCAGGAGTAGATAGCATTTCCTCAGATGAGAGCTGAGAAAATTGAGGCTTAAAAAAGTGAAAACTTGTTGCACATGATAGTACATGCTTGTAATCCCAGCCCTCTGAGAAACTGCAGCTGGAGAATTGCAAGCATGAGCCCAGCCTAGACAACTTAGTAACTCAGTGTGACCCTGACTCAAAATTTTATTAATGAGCTGGGAATGTTGCTCAGTGCACAGTTCTGGAGTTCAGTCCCTAGTACCACCGGTCAGTACTCATACCCTGATGTATAATCTTCTGGATAGTTTGCTATATTGTTTCCCAGGATCTTATCGAGGATTTTTACATTTATGTTCATTAAGATTAGCCTGTGGTTTGCTTTTTAGTTTGGATCCTTCTCTGGTTTGGGATCAAGGCAAGGCTTACTTACAAGGATGAGTTTGGAAGCACTGCTTCCCTTCCAATTTCATTAAAGAATTTGATGAGTACTACAAATAATAGGTTTTTTTTAATAACTGGCCTCAAACAGCTGGGAGCTGGTTGGTTAAAAATCTGAACTGAGTCTTTGAACCCCTCAAATCTTTGGTCATAGCTAAGAAAGAAAGCGCTGCCTTGTGCAACCCTATAGAAGATATTCATTTTTATATTCTCCAAATAAAAAGTGGGACCTGATTTACTCATTACTGTACCCCAGCAGGAAGCAGCACACAATTCCCACCCCATTAACCAAACCCAAATGGAAGAATGGTACACAGCAGACTTCCTCATAGTCACAGCCCAAGTCGCCCACCCTGGGACCTTCTGATGAGCAGAATCACAACATTCAGCTCCACACTAAAGTCCTGAGTTGCCTGTGTCTGTCCTTTGATGCTCTCTTCTTCCCCCAAAAAAGTACGAAAATGTGAAGTATGATGGCAAATATGGCGAATGTCCAATTTTAAAAATGCATTAAGTAAAAGACACATGGTCATTCATTTCCCTCAAAGCACTCCCACTTGCTGAGAACACACTTATTCCACAGTTCTTGACACTGTCTGGAGTAGTTCTTGGTGTCTCCCTTTGTGTGTTTAGTTGTACTGTCATAGCCTCCCGGTGTCCTGCATCGAGTCAAAACATTCACCTTTCATGGTCAGCTTGTCTTTGGGAAGGGCCAGAAGCTGCACAGTGTCAGGTACAGTGAAGAAGGTGGAGGAGGACATGTCACAGGGTCTTTATAAGCCTGCCCTTCAGCTGGATGACTCTAGGCAGCATCATTCACTGTATTTTTAATCACACTTAATAAAGACACATAGGAAAAAGGACTTTCAACACTGCTTTGGAAAGAAGCAAGAGCAATGGGATAAGCATGTTCAAAGTGAAAGGAGGTATTTTCAGTGGGATTGACGGCAACGAGTCTTTTAGTAGGATAAATTTTTAGAAGTTAAACAGCCAGCATATATTTTGATCAAAACCTCACATCTTGGGATCTTTTTCCAGGCAAGCAACCTTCACCGTCACTCTGTTTTCATGCTCACTTTGCACTTTTTAGTGGAAATTTGCTTCTCCAGGTAAAAATTCAAATTAACTTTGTAAGTAGTTTCAGTCTGACACAATCTGGACCCTACCTCTGCCCTATATGGGGAAGCTGTTGGACCACCCCTGAGGCCACAGAAGCTACAATAGGAATACAAGGGACGGGTCATGTTTCTCCTCCTCCTGGATGTGTTACACGGAATCACCCACACCTGGGAGAGCAGTAAAACCCTGACTAGTGATGTCGGTGGATGGCTTGAAACCTCAGTGGAGCCAGAATCCTGTTCCCAGTCACCCCAGCATAAGCTGTTGCTGCCCACTGGCTCACTTCTATGTCTGTCAGCCTCAGCGTCCTCCACCACAGGAAGCTGGCCCCCCTAGCATCCCATGTCTGTGTTACTCTGCCGGGGTTTGATGGAAGCCTGGGCCAGGTGTGAAAGCTGCTGTCTTCTCAGAGCTGTTAGGATGTAACAACAAAGCAAAGAGCCAGGGCCTGTGCTTCCACCCCATGCCCTTGGCTGCTGCTTCTTGCCAACTTGCAAAGCTCGTTCTAACTTCTCTTGAAATCTGATTGGCCACTGTTTCACAGCTGGGGACCTCACATTTACCCACGTGGTTGTGAACCAGAGGGCAATGAAGTCCCATGCTATCTCTGCCAAATGTGTTCACATTTCCAAAATACTTCAGTGTGAATCAGTTGTTCTGGATGGCACCCAAAATTGGCATCCATTTTGGGGGATTGACTAAAAAAATTTTGATAAATGAACAAACCAATCTCGCCTTGAAAGGTTCAAGGTTCACTCACTTAATAATCATTTGACTTCCATCCTTGAATTTCAAATTCTACACACTAGAGACACTAAAGTGACTGAGGTCTGAAGTCACTTACGGAGTATGATTTTCAGGGGATGAGGGAACAGAAAATAGATAAGGAAGTAAACCAATACTAAAGATGATCCTATTAATCATAAACGCTGTGAAGACATTAAAGCAGGGTATGGGGCACCAAGACGTGGTGTAGGGAGAAAGACTGTCCGGAAGGGTGTCTTCCTATTGGAAAAGATGGCATCAGGGCTCTAAGATGAGTGATGAGAAGCACCCAGTTATTTGAAGATATGGAGAGGATCCCAAGAACACAAGAAATAGCACAGCCAAGCCCCAAAGCAGATAAGAGCTTGGAGCAGGGTAGCGAGGTGAAAATGGTGAGGATGATGTTGGGGGGTGGGGTCCACCTAGACTGCACTCCTGAGGGTGTGTTTTATTCTGAACATCACATGTAGCATGACATGAGCTCACGTGAGTTGTCAAAGGTTCCCTAGCTGCTGCTGGAAATGAATGAGACAAAGGGGCCAGAAGAGGGCAAGGGGTCACAGACACTGTCCTCAGTGAGACCCCCAACCCGGAGTGGCCAAAGGCAGGGCATGAAATACTCATACCACAGAGTAGAGTAAGTCTCAAATCAAAGCTGTAAACTAAAGACCTCATGAGACAGCAGCCACTTGAAAAACAGTCAGCCCAGCCGAGGAAGCAGGAGGGCCTGATGGCGCCATAGCGTGGTGGGGCTGCTGAGGCTGAGCTGGACTCCTCATGGCAAATAAAGTGTCTTGAGTCTCCCAGCCACTGTGTGAGATCACTCCAGTGCAAATAACCCTATTCCCATGGAGGACATTTGCTGTCTTCTGGAGCCTTCTACTCTAGCAGCAGGTTCCAGAGCCATGCTTTTAAGAATTCAGAAGGCGCTGGAAGCTATAGAGAAGCTTCAGGGGATGAGGGGACAGAAAACAGATAAAGAAACAAATCAATACTAAAGATGATGCTATTAAGCATAAACACTGTGAAGACATTAATAGTTTGGATATAGCTTGGGATCTCCCAAGGGTCCCTATGTTGGGAACATGGTCCCTAGGGTGGCAATATTGGGAGGTGGCAGCACCTTTCAGGGGACTTTAAGAGCCCTAACATGTGGCCTTCAAGGCACTGGGGGCATGCCCTAAAAAGAGGTGAAGTTGGTCCTCATCCAACCCTTTGGAAGTTCTCCAAAGAGGGCTGTTGTAAAGGAGCAAGCTGGCCCCCTCCATCCCTCTGCTTCCTAGCTTGAGATGTGACAGCTTGTTCTGAAACATGCTGCCACCATCATATGTGCCATCTGCCACAAGGCCCTCACAAGAGCTGAGCACAGACAGGCACTCTGCCCTTGAGCCTCCAAAACTGTGAAACCTCTTTTTTTTTTTTTTTTTTTTTTTTTGTGAATGTCCTGTGTAAGGTATTTTGTCATGGTTATGAAAAGCCAATGAATACAAAGACTTTCAGTTACTCATGGACATAATCCTGGATGGAGACCACCTGGGAAACTGTGACATCTTCTCAGTTTGCAGGGATCAGAGCATCTCAGAGCCTAAAGGACTTCACTCATCATCTGGTCCATCGTCTCCCTGCACCATGGGTGATGCTGAGGTAGCAGCATCAGCATCACTAGGACAACATTGGAAATAAACTCTCTGGCCTGCTCCAAATCTCCTAAACCAGAACCCACACTTCCAGAAACCGTGCAGGTCATAGTGAGTTCAGGATCAGCTCCAACTGCATAGTGAGACCTGTCTCAAAAACCAACCAACCAACAAACAAGATCTATGGGTTCTGTGTATGTATGTTAGCTTGAGAAACACCACTCGACCTTCTTACCTTCAGTGGGGAATGGGATCACCACCATAGGTTTATTTCTGTTGCTTGTTTGTTTTCTGGTACTATGGGTTGGATCCAGGATCTTTGCACTGAGCTACATTACCAGCCCTTTTTTATCTTTTCATTTTCAGGCAGAATCTCACTAGGTTAGTAAGTTGCCCATTGGTTTCCAACTCGTCAGGTGTGGTGGCTCATGCCTGAGGCATGAGGATCATCGCGAGTTTGAGGCCAGCCTGGCCTACAAAGTGAGCTCAAGGCCAGCCTGAACTATAAAATGAAACCCTGTCTCAAAAAGACAAAAGATGGAAGGAAGGAAGGAAAGAAGGAAGGGGAAGGAAGAGAAGGGAAGGGAAGGGAAAGGAAGGGAAGGGAA